ACATGGGGTTATTCCTCCCCAGGTGTGGGACCCGACACTTGTCCTTGTTGAATTTCATTAGATTCACCTCTGCTCAGCTCTCCAGCCTGTCCAGGTCTCTCTGAATGGCAGCTCAGCCTTCTGATGTATTTCTTTGCCTTGTTCCCAAAGTACTTGTGTAACTCATTCCATGTTCTTTCTTCGTCTCTTTACTTCTCTTTTATCTCTTTCAAACACGAACTAGAGAAGTACCGCTATGAATGCTGGAGGGTTTTTTTTCATTAGGATACCAGGTTTTAACATACTTCACAGAACATGCAGTGAGAAACTGTGAGAAAACACATAATGTAATTTCTTTTCCTGTTCTTCCAAGACTGAAAAAAAAAGATTGTATGCAAGTTCTGCATAAGACCTGAAATTCATGGATAAATGGGTTTTGCTACAGTAGCATTGAGGAAGAAACTAGTCACTTAGCCTTTATATGTCCAGTTCTGAGACTGTCGGTTTTTAACTCACAGTTTGTACAACAAGCTAGCTCCCATGCATTTGCCTACATCAGCTTTTCAAAAAGCTCCCATGTTCCTTAATTCATAGGATAATAGAATCATAGAATGCTTTGGGTTGGAAGAGACCTCAAAAGGTCACCTAGTCTTAACCCCCTTGCTGCAAGCAGGGACATGCCAAACTAGATCAGGTTGCTCAGAGCCCCATCAACCCTGTCTTTGAATGTCTCCAGGGATGGGGCCTCCACCACTTCTCTGGACAGCCTGTTCCAGTGTTTCACCACTAGTAAATATTAGTAAATACAGAGAAATTGCTCTAACACATTTTAGTTATTTGTTCTAAATTCATTTGAGGTGGAACTCAAAACTGTGAAACATGTTGAAATGCTTTATTGATTCAGTGAGGTTTCATTTCCTATTAGTTTTGCAGCTGTCACCACTTTATTTCTAATCCACTTAGATTAAAGAAGGCACATGAGTACCAGTTACTCAGATGTGTCCTGAGCAAGGTCACATATTTCAGGCTGATTAAAGTGGTTGTATCAGGATGCTGGAGACTGGGTGTTCCCAAAACAGCAATGCAGTTTGCCTACAACATTATTTCTTTCTTTTTGTCAGTGGAAAGGCTGTTCTTTGTCTGTCAAGAATAGAGCTGAAAGAGCATTGCAGCACAGCTAGTACAGCTGACCCAAGCTTTTCCCCTGATTCTCAAAGGAAAGTGAAAGGGGAAAAAAATAGACCAATTTGGATTGTGTCACAAAAATGGTCTCTCACATAACCTTTCACCAGCAAGGCTTGGCACACATAGACAAGGCAGCAGCCAGCACTCTGGCAGTTTCTTGGTATAGCCTGTGCTGGGGCAATTCTTTAAAATTTCTTCTATAATATGTCAGATAAACAGTGAATCATACCTTCATTTATCTGAGACACTGTTCTCAGTTATGAAAAAAAACACTGTAGATTGTGCATGCCCAGTAGGTCAAGTCAGAAGATAAATATCTCTTTATTTCTTTCTGGAAAATGCTTTGATCCTTTTTTTTCTTCTTTGAAGGTGCTTTGACAGCACCCCTTTCTCTAGCTTTAAAAGGTTGCCCTCACAGTGATTTGAATTAACCAGAATCTCTGTAAGATAACAAACATTGGAGAACTTTGTATAAGCATCACTTACGTTTTCACATGATTCCCTTAGTGTCTGTTTTTTGGGAAACTGCAAAGCCAGCGTTATTCTCTGTATCTGCTGTAGTTCACATGTGGAAAAAGCTTTTCAACCTGCTGCTTTGCAGTATGGAACATAATTGTATATGTGGCAAAACGTTTGTGGACTTTTAACGTCAAAAAAATGTTTTTAAAACATTTAAAATAATGTGGCTAGCAATGGAGGGGAGGAACAGGATGGAGGAGGATGAGGAAGTAATAAATAGTCTTTCTGTAACATTTTGGATTTCAGTGGTGTTCAGTAACTGCCTACTATTGGCATGCTTACTTGTGCTAGGCAGCAGAATTTAAATTTCGATTGACTTTTACAGCAGCCTGATCTAGTACTCTGGCACTCAGTGTGAGCCATATTCAGCAACAATAAATATAAATACTGTAAAGGTAAATCACATTAGTACATACATGACCATGATGAAATGGGGAATTCTCTGTTTGTCTTAAGGTACCAAAGCCCAGCTGACTCGCTCTCCTCCAAGATGCAAAAGCCAGATATGCAGGTACAGACCTGAGGACGGGGTGGCTTCCCAACAGCTTTTGCACCACCTCCCTCCCAGCCCACATGTGCTGCTGAGCCAACAAGCAGAAGTGGCCCTGCTGAAGGGCCCAGCCCTGCTCATCCTCACAGCCCAGGGGTGAGCACACACCCTGCAGCAAGGCAGGAGCTCCTGTGGGCAGTGTCACTGCAGCAGTGCAGTGCTGTCACAGAGCTCATTTGCCATGCCTGGCAGCACGCACCGTGCACAGGGGTGCAGCCGTGTGGCACTGCACTCCAGGAGCCTCCTGGCCGAGGCCTGGAGACGACGTAGGTGGCTAGGCCAGGATGAGGGTTAACAGGCCCATAGGCAGCACTAAATTGCCCCTTGCTTGATGCAGGGTATACATGATCTGGCTACTTTGTGTTTTTCTGTGTAAAATAACACTGGGCAGCTGACCATCACCACTGTGTCCACCAGTGCAGGCTGGGTCAGTTCTGGTTAAAAAGCCCAAAGGGCGGGCAGTGACTCCGGATGTGACCTGTGTAATGCAAGTGCTTCACCCTGCTCACTGGTGGGACTGCGGCATTTCTTCCTTCTTCTTCCCCTCCCCTTCTCTCTGCCTGTAACTGGGGTATTTTGTGAGCCTCCATTTAACATGCATACTTCTCCCTTGGCTGTTCCCCAGACTTGGAGGAGTGCGTTGATTTCCTCAACCAAGGGCTTGTCTAAACAACAATGTTTTGGCTGCTTTAACAAGTGTTGTTCAAGTGCTAAATCTCCCTAGGCCTCACGGAATTACTTTAGTACAGACGTTGCCATTCAGGATGCAATATCTGCTTTAAAGCACCTCTCTAAGACTGTGTACCAGCATCCAGGGTAGGGTGGAATTAAAGAGCAGTAGTTTGAGCTTGCAGTGGTTGTTGGACATTCTGAAAAGCAAACCTGTCTCTGATGATTTTATAGAAACTTAAATACTTGGGGGGGGAATAGTTGATGGTGGGACAGTTGACATCCAAACATACGTCAAGCTACTTAATTATTTCCTGATAGATTTCTTGACCTAGTGGGCTGAAGTGGTCAGGGTGTTTGGTGATGTCTTGTTGATGTGGAGCAACTTGTTCCTTCTCCTGGCCCACGTCCTTGCCTGAGGCCTACAGAAGTGTAGAGATTACTCCTGTGCAGGATGGTGATTATAAACTATATTTACCTGCTTGGATATTAAAGGACTAGTCTTCACCAGAGCACCTCCACTGGAGTAATAACATTGGCAGAGCCTCCAAGTGCTATAGCAACCATTCCCCAGCCTACTTCACAGAGCCTCTGCGTCTGAGGAAGCTGTGGCAAAGCAAGGTGTCTGTGACTATGTCCCCAGCAGGAGTTCTGCAAACACAGGTGTCTTGGTCGTGGAGTCTTGTATTCCTTCACACCCCTTGCTGAGCCTGAGCCCTTGCAGGCTTGGGGAGCTCCCTCCTCCAGCAGCAGGGTGCATATTACCCTCTGCTGTGCTGGCAAAACTCTGTGTGTGTTTATTCCCTCCCTCTTTATTCATTATTTGTTTTGGATCACCACCCTCCTTACAACTGTCCTCAGATCCGTCTCCTTGGAAACAGTAGATCTTGTTTATGTGACAGTAATAAGGAAACTAACTGATGAGTAGCAGCTGCAGGCATGCAAGGGAGCCATGTTCCACCAAGGGATGTAGGAAAAGCAAGTCTCCACTTTGCTGATGGATGAGAGGTTATATGGCTTGAGCAAAACCTACCTTCTTCCTCTGGAGTCTCCCAAGTTGCCTTCCTCTGTTCACAGCGGTAGGAAGCTTGTTGCATGCTCATATGTCTGTTTTAATGAACTTTGTTAGTCTTGTTTATCACCAGTGGATAAAGGTTGAGAAGCATTATGAAAATTGGTAAGCTTTTCTTACTTTGTGTTTTCTGAAATACTGTGCTGGTGCACTGTGCCACGGGTGGCCCATCTCCTCTCATGTCTTGACCTTGGCCCTATCTATGGCCACAGGACTCATCCATATATTGAGACTTCTGCTTCTCCCTACTTTGTGCCCTTCACTGCTTCTGCGTCTTGTACTTGCTGCTCTGGGGCCATGTGGGTGCCAGGGAGGCCATGATTTTGCCAGGGGGGCCACCTTGACCTGTGGAATCTGCACCAGCGGTGTTAGCACACAAAATCAGTGCTGACTGAGAGGCTCCAAGTGAAGCAAGCCCTGGCAAAAAGATGCTCCTGTTGATGTCTCTGTGATGACAACTTGGAGGAGGAAGGAAGTCTTTCCATGTACCTTTGATTTAGCGCATATTTGGAAGAGGCGGTGTGGATGGATGATGACTTTTCTATTTCATGTGATCTCTGAAACAGTGCTGGACAAGCTGTCCCTGGAAACTTTTTATATTATATTCTTGCCCACCCACCCATTATGAATGACTTTTCCTGGGTTGTGCTTCATCAGTAAGTTCCAGTCTTGATCTGGGTTTCTTCCTCCTTTACTAGATACCTCATTTGGGTGACTTTCTTCAGAATTAGTGTCTGTAAATAGACTTGCCTAAGTGGGAAGCTGTTCCAGTTGCAAGCCCTTTGTTTTAAACTGGAGTGATACCATAATTGTTGTATCACTGAACCTTCAAATAAGCTGGTTTTCTGTCAGCTGAAGCTGTATATACTTTTCATTTCTTATGTTGTATCAAGTGAAATGCTTGATACTAGTTGGCTAGGTATCTGTGGTGTGATTTGAAAATTGCTCTCACTTCCTAGAGTTTGTATTGGACTAAAGCACTTTCTGCAAGTTTCACTTGAATTCATGTCTTGAATATTACAGGCTATGAATTCTGAATCAAAGAACAGTTTCATAGGGAGCTTTCTTCAGCCACCAGATAAGATGCTTCCTGCAGCTACAGAATCAAAGAAGTTGGCAGCTGTTGATGGTGACAGGCCTGCTATCCCAAATAACCAAGGTAAAGCTAAAATATGCCCTTAAAGTGGTCTTTTTAACTGTTCCATGTTAAATCTATTGAGCAAACTGCCTGTTTTGTGTTTTACTCAGTTCAATGACTTGCTATGATTATCAGACTGACATTGAGACAGGATGTGTGTGTGTCCTGAGGGAGTAGTCTCCCTGAAGTCATATGTCTGGAATGGAAACTGCTGCAAGTCTTCTAACATCCTTATAAACTTTGGCTTTGAAAATTGTTTAACTTAAAATCATCAAACTTCCTCTAAGAGCAAAGGAGAATGCTTCAAACTCAGCAGAAGCAGTTCATGACTTTAAATACAGAAAAAAAAAAAAAAGATCCTTAGTATTGTGTACTATCTTTAAATTGGCTTTGCATAGTGCTACTCAACTCCCTCTAGCTTAAAATCACTTATAAGGTTTTTTGTGTGGTAGGATTCTTTGGGAGAACTTTTGAATAATGGAGACTCCCAGGAAAGTTAACAGTGTGAATGTTAACTTCTATGAATTATGGATCCACTATGGTTGTCCTGTGCCTTAATGGGTGATTATTCTCTGGAGCTCACAAGACCAATGCTTGGTGGCTTAGGGTATCTGGAGAGCTCAGTGAATCACAAGGATATCATACTTGGATTTGCTATCGTGGACAGCTTTGCAGTGTTCCACAGCCATTGCCTCTGTGTGTGTATGTGGTCATTGTTCTTCACCTGAGGAATCTGACTTCTGCAGTAACCTTTTGTCTTATACAGTTTGTGCTTTCTGGATTGAAATGTTCAGTTTAATGTTATGCAGCTAAGTGTTTAAGTAAGGAAGCTTTTTGAATGCCAACAGAAAGATGGCTGAAGTGATTCCACTTCATCTTTCTGCTCTCTGGTATCTGCTTCTTATCTTTTCTGTTTGGTTGGGTTTAAATTTTATTCTAATGGGGTTATGATAAACTGATGAGAGTTGTTAAGGAGCTGTATTTGCTGGGTATTTCTTTACTGAGAGAATTGGCATAGGGAAACTGTCATGGTTTATAAAATGGCAGAAAAGAAGCTTGACTCTTTACAGAAGGCGTCTTCAACTTCCACCACTGTGAATACTTTTTGGAGAGCTAGTAGACTTTTTCTTATAGCTGAAATTGTAACTTTTATTTTTGGCATAATTTTGACAAATACTGGTTTGAGGCTAAAAGCAAAATCTTGCAGACTTGTTTCTGTGGTTTAAAGAGACATCAGATAAAAGAAACTAGTCATTGGATCATTACGTTTTGAAACAATTAGGTTTTTAAAATGCATCCTCTAATAAATGTCCCTTTGTATCTCTGTGTCTGGGAAGTTATGGATGCTCCATCACTACATGTGTTCAAGACCAGATAGGATGGAGCTTTGAGCAACCTGATCTAGTGGGAGATGTCCCTGCCCATGGCATAGGGTTTGGAACTAGATGGTCTTTAAGGTCCCTTCCAACCCAAACCATTCTATGATCTGATTTCAGCCCTGTCCTTAGTCCATTTTTGTTTTGTTTTTAATCTTCTCACACCAGTTGCCTTAGACTGAAACAAACTTGTGACCTAATTTGGGTACTTGTGCTCCCTGCTTCTGTGTAAACAGAAGTTCCAGGTTTTGTTATACTCAGTTTGCCATGATACCTTTGTACTTGCTACCATTTGGAGTGAAAACAGTTTTGCTTACAGTACCTGTGCTTTATACCTCAGTTATGCAGTAAACATGCCAGCTATATTCTGCATGTGTTAGTGTACTGCTAATATAATTCATTTTAGGGGTGATCCTAAGAAGAAAATGTAGGTAGTATTTTACTGTTTAAAATGTTTTGTAAATATAGCAATAACAATGGGAACTGTTGCTTAAGTTGTAATTGTTGCATTGTTTGCTAGCTGTGGTGGCAGCCCTGAAAACTCTTGAAGAAAAAATCCACTGTCTAGAGCTGGAGAAGTCACAGGCTGAAGATAATATGTGCAGCCTCTCCATAGCAGCTGCTCAGTATAAGAAGGCCTTAGAGCATGAATCTTGCAAAAAGGACAGAGCACATCAAGAACTAATGCAACAGAGGAAAGGTATTTCTCTTGAGTGATAAGATGTAGCCACTGCAACTCCAAAACTGCATAATCCAGGGAGTGTTTGTTTATTTTGACAAACTGCTAATTAATGCACTCCCTCTTTTCTTTTTTTGCCTCAGAATTGTGGAGGGGTGGGAGCTTGGTAATTGTGAATCAAGTTGAGATCTTGTTTTTACATATATTTACCATGTGTTGCTAATACTTAAAACCTGTTTTAAAGAATAAGCCTATTTCAGGTAGTATGTTTAACTCCTACAGCAAGCAAGCAGCCACTTATACGTGTAACATCGCTAACTTGAGAAAAGTGAGGAGAAGGGAAGAAACCAGATTCTGTTTAGGTATCTGCTGATGTAAATCAAGGTAATTGCAGTGCTCACACCTTTGGAATTCATATTAGGGATCTGGAAAACATCTTGATTCTCATGTCACATATAAAGAATATTTCCACCAGATTACTTGTTCAGACTAACAGAACATTTCTTGCATGTTTTCAGGATAGAGGATTCCTCAATGAGACAACAGACTGGCTAAATGTGTAGCTCCCATTGCTGTACTGAATGTCTTTATTTCTCTCTGTAGATGTAAGTGTGCAGTTAAACGCAGCACAGTCTCGCTGCTCCCTGCTGGATAAACAGCTGGATTACATGAGGAAAATGGTTTCCAGTGCGAAACTGGAAAATAAAATGGTTTTAGAACAACAGGTGAAGCCTTTTAGCATTCTAACAAAGTAGTGATATAGTTAAAAAGGACAGAAATGTGTAAGATCTGAACATTTTTATGGACATAATTTTTCCTCAGCTCTGCTCAGGGTGGTAGGAAACAGAAGCAATTTACTGTCTGACTGGCTGATGACAACCATTCAATGAATTGTATGAAAAGACTCCCTATGTGGAACTTGTAATGAGCAGAACCATGCTAATACTTGTATATTCAGCAGACAGAAAGGCTGCTGGAAACTTAAGTCTTCTTTGTCTGCCTGGTATTTTTCATCACTTTGCAATTTAAGAAATATGAAATTTAATCAAGTTTAACACCTTTACTGTAGTACATTTGTTTTGGTTTTTTTTTTGCTGTCTGAAACAATTCCAGTCAGGTGCCAACTCTTCTTGCTCGCTTTTTCCAGGCCAGGCTTCAGAAAGGGGAGGATCAGAACTGGTTGGAACAGCATGCAAAACTTGAAAAGCTAGAAAAAGAATGTCTTAAACTCACTGCTACTCAGAGAATTGCAGAAGTAAGCATGCACGGAACAACAGTCTGAAAGTCATTAACTTGATATAATTTGTACGGCATACTGTTAATAGCACCAAGTTTTGCAAAAGTTTCCTCTGTTAAAGCTAAGATCATAAAGCATACATGACTGAATGCCACCTTGGCTTAATTTGCATGAGTCTTTTTTCAGTCTGGGGTTTAAAAATACCTGCAGTCCTGTTTTATCCCAGATTACAACTGCAAGCTACTTCAGACTTCTGCTGAAGCACAGCAAACTGAAGTGTGGCTAATCATTCTTACCTTCAAATTCAGGACAAGATCAAACACTTAGAAGAAAAGCTTAGGAAAGAAGAGCATCAGCGTAAGCTAATACAAGACAAAACTGCTCAGGTAGGCTGAAAATGTTTTATTTTATCTTATTTTTAATGACTGAAGAAAGCTGTTCTCTCTGTCTAAAGTACCCTTTTAAAATTGCATTTAAACTCCACATATTTACTGTCCAAGGAGAGCTCCTGCAATACAACCTAGACCAGTTATGAAGTACCTTGTAGAAAGCTTGCCAGGTGTGTTGCATAGCTCAAGACTCTCCTCGGTTTTGAATTAATGATACAGTTCATCAGCCTCAGAATGAATTTCTAGGGAATTTGCAACTAAATCAGATAATGTTAACTTACAGTAACTAGAAAATGGTCACATAAGAAACCTTATACCCTAAGTAAAGTTGGTTATTCTGTTTTCCTCTTCTTGTTAAGATCTGCTGAAATCTAATATATTGGACTATATTTGGAAAAGTCTTTAATCAGTGATAAGGTCACACTGTTCATTAAGTGAGAGCTTGAATAATTCATTATTCTGTGAAGCCAAAATCAGTTGGTCCATTATCCATCTGAGAGAGGAATATTTGCCAAAGAGAGCAAAATCAAAGAGAACTTTTATTAAAGGGGCAAAGCAGTAGTATTCCAAAGCTCACTTCACTGAGAAGGAGCAGCCATTTTGAAAGAGAGCAGTTGTGGTGGCAATCCCTTGGGCTGGGCTGGGGGCACACAGAGCTGAAGAATAATATTGAAAGAGCTTTGATCAATTCTTCACTGCTGTCAGATTTTATATCTCATCTAGGGATGATGGGCTTTCATCAGTGCAGGAAGCTTAAAATAACATGCAGGTTATAGCCCAGGTATCTGACCACCTTCAGAATCCAGCAGAACGATAGAGCTGAAAACTTGTGGGTTTTTGGGTGTCTTGCTTAAACTGCTTGCTGCTGCAGAGCAGAAGGGCTAGTATAGAGATTTTATCTTCTGAGCAACACAGTGAGAATTACTTTCCCAGAGCAGATATTCTGACTTCAGTAGTAGTATAAATATTTGCTCAAGAAAGGAGTTAGGTGGCGTAAACTGACTTCTAAACTAGTACTAGTACCATCTTAGTTCACTGCAGGATAGACTTTGGTCTGTTGGATCTGGCTTGGGAAACATAGGGTGTGGGGTGGTTCACTTCCTTTTGATGACAGAAAAGCCAGAATAATCTCACTTCTGTGATGGACCTCCAGCATTGTTTAACCGGAACTGTTACACATGCCAAAACAAAGTCATTGTCCTGTGTTTAATTGGGAATGGCTATTTATCACAGGCCTTTACATGAGCTTTGAACTACAGAGCCATCTGAGGATTGTCCAGCAGGTTTGACCTCAGTGTTACACAGACAAGCTCAGTTCTTTCTGCTCCCAGATTCTAAGATCCAAATGATCATATTTTTTTTGATTTTATGACAAGATCACCAGCATGCGACAGGATTGGCTTAACTCACTTGCCGATTGTCAGTGGAAAAATACAGCTGCTGCAGCTGAATATGAAAATGAGAACTTCCAAGATGAAGCTGCAAGATCTGCTGATACCCTGCCATCCTAGTAATCTGTTCAGTTTTTAAGTGCAGCTTATGCTTTCCAAGCAGGACATTTAATAGTGCCTGTAATTGGTTCTCATCCATGCATGAAAGAGGGAATTAATTAACCGTGTGATTTCATACTTCTAATATTAAATTAAATGGTAGTTTTCTTTTTGCTTATTCCCACAGCTTCAAAGAGGATTTGAGATAAACAGAATTTTGATGTCTTCAGTAACATCTCAAAATGAACCTAAAAAGGAAAATGCAAAGAAAAAAAAAACTAAGAAGGTATCATGAAAGTTTTTATTAGCATACTGTTGCTGATAGCATCTGACTTGCACAGAGGTTGGGATTTGTGAAAAACAGTGGTGTAAATGGCACTTGATTTGTCTGACACACTTCACTCCATTTCCAAATTGACAAACAGTGCTGAATACCTTTTTTTTTCTTTTTTTCCTTTGGGAATTACAACGGTGCTAGGGCTGGTAGCACCTCAGTGGAAAACTTCCCCTCACCACCACAATAATAACCTCCATTACAGTCTTACTGCCTTCCCCCCAGTTTGCCAGTTTATCTGGCAAAATTAGTTTCCAAAGTAATTTTAACTTGACATCTTAAGGTGGTGTGGTTTGGGGGGGGATTTGTCTCTCCTGTTGGAAAGTCCTACTCCTTCCACATACAGGAGGGAAATAATTTTTTAAAACCAGAGGGAAACTGGGGTGATGCATTTCACTGCTTGTTTATTTGACTTCTACTTATTAAAAAAAAAAAAAAAAAGTTAAAGATTGTGCTGTTTGGTCAGCAGATTGGAATTTCTTGTCTTACTTCTTCTGTCTATATATGGCAGAAAAATACTACAATGAAGAAAATGCACCTTTCACAATTCCATGTAAAGGCTGGTGAACTGCCTTTTGTGGCTGGGAAGGTGAGTGAAACCAAATGTTCTTGCTAAATTAGCATCTACAGTTTGAGTAAGTCTCTTTACTGTCATTTTTAATCACTTCTGTAAACCATGTAATAATTCTGCTTTAAGTCTGTCAGCTCCAGCCATTCTGTTAGTGCAAATGTTCAAAGCGTGTTGCATATTATGAAGCATCGCAATCTACAAGTCTTATCACGAAGACAAGGAGGAGCTACCTCTGGGATTTCAGGACGCAGTACATTTTCCAAACCTGTATCCTCTTGTTCCACATTGCCTACTGCCCCTGGAAGTCTTTCAGACCTTCTGTTGGCCATACAAGATGAGCTGGGCCAAATGAGCTTGTGAGTACTCATCCCTGGTGTTACGAGTAAAAGAGACTTCACTGGTAGCCTTGTGAAGCTGCATGTGTGCTATAGTTGAATCCAGCATGTTTTAAGTATAGGTCTACTTCTTGACAGAGTGGCCTGACTCAGTGGCCTGACTGGTGGGATTTTTCTCATTCAAAAAATTCTTTCTATCCTGGTGTTTAAATGATCTTGTGAATAAGCAACATGCTCTTTAGCTGAGTTTTTCAGCTTCTGCATCCTGTGCTTAACTGAGCTGCTGCTGAATTAACAGCTACAGCGAATGAGAACTTTCAGGCCTGTGCTTTTTAGAAATGTTAAACATATTCTAAGATCTACAGAGTAGGCCAAGAATGTTCTCCTGGAGAAGGCTGCAGAGGTGGTGTTAATGTCAAGTAAGCCTGCAGCTGCAGTCAGTCTGCATGGTAGAGTAGGTTGGTACAGCTGTCACAACATCTAGCTTATTACTTTGTCCTCACTCTTTCTGTGTTCTCCATACGTGCATACCTGATGGGTCTTTGTGCTAAGACAGTCTGGTGTTCATTCCCTTTCCTTGTTGGTAATAGGAGAACTTGCTAGTCCTGTAAGGGGGTTGTGAAAGAGGGGCAGTCTCCTGCCAGAAAATGGACAGGGTGTGGAAGGAGCTTACACGTTAGGTGGGAGTGATGTGTCTTTCAAGACAGGCCTGTAAATGTGGATTACAACTTGCCCTGTTCTTAGGCACCTTCCCTTTAATGCAAGCTTGTAGAATAGTGGACCAAAACTGTGTAGCTGCTCATAATAAGCATGGCAATGTGGTGAGCTGTGGTTTGAATGGAGAAGGATGTGTTGGTTAAACCAGTTAGGATATTGACAGTGATTTGATTTTTTTGGCAAAATTTAAACTGGCAACCAATCTCTTCTTCAAAAAGCAACGTTTGTCTTACAGCAATTCAAGGACAGGCTTTTTTTTTTTTTTTATAGCAACAACCCATTGCTTCATTAAACTGTCAAGGAGCAGCAATTACTCAGAAGTCAGAAAAGAATCTGTCACCTTTGTAAAGATGTTATTTGTCTAAGAGAGCGTATCTGGTTTTGACTAGTTTTGATACCTAAATATAAAGTAGATCTACAAAATTTATTTTAATTAAACTTGCTAATTAAGCAGGTTAATTTAATTAACAAGCACACTGTTGCAAATTCTTTGAAGTAGCATATTTTAATTTTAATTTTAATAATCTGTCAGAAAAGCTGTAACTTAGGCGTACTAGTTTAAACAATACTTTCCTGTATTGCACTAAGCTTCCAAAGCCTGCACTAAGTTGGGCACAAAGTGAAAATACTCTACTGCATAGCTGCTGTTCACTTACCAAATTCTCATTTTGCACACTATCACACATGTAGTTATGACTGTGGCAAGAGGCAGGAATAAAACGCACATGACCTACAAACTTGAAATGAGAAAATCAGACCCACTGGAAACCCTTTTTCTTTTCTAGTGTGAATATATTCCAGGTTAATGTGTATTGTGTGAGAGGGTAAATAATGCTAAATTGCTGTACTCTGGAAGTCAGCAAGTTCTAGCTAGCAACTCTTGCAATATAATGAAAGTACTGGAAGAAATCCTAGAGACTATATAATGAATACTTATCTTGCCATTCTTGTCTTTAATAGTGGGCATCAAGAACTTACGAAGCAGCTACAGGAGACTCAAGACTCCAAAGTTCGTGAAGACCTAGAACAGGAGCTGGATTGCCTTGTAAGACAGATGGACATTAAAGGAGAGCAAATAGCCAAGCTGAAGAAGCATCAGGCTGCTGTAAGAATAAAATGTAAACTCTCTATCTTCTAACACAGTAGTTGAAAGGTTGCCACAACAATGCCTCCTGTTATTCTTAACTAATAAGAATGTCACTGGAATGCTTAAGCCAGGAATCTTCCAATATGGGTGATTGTAACTAGGCCTTCAGCTTGGTGTTCTTGTACTTCTAATTCCTTCTTTTGATCAAGAAAACATGCTTAGAGCTGGCAGCCAGGAATGTCTGCTAGTGGGAGAACTTCCTTCCCTGTAGCAGCTCTGCAGTACGAAGCTAGGTTGCTCAGTCTGTCACCTCTGCTCACTGCATTAGGACAAACTGTTGAGCTTTCATTCCTTTGGGTCCTAGCCCTCTGGAAAATGAGAAAGAAGTTACAATTCCTTTACAGGCTGGATTAAGTATATTTTATATTACGTTAATGTTGAAGCTTTTTATTAACCAGATAGTCTGTTGAACACAGCTTCTCCAAAGTCATAGCCAGACAAGCCTTTCAGTTTTGTCTAACCCATAACCTGTACACGTTCTGTCAGTATTTGTTTTAGAGCCATAGATGACAGCTTTTCATACATGCCCATATAAAATCACTGTTCTCTAGATGAACAGTTTAACCTCTTTGCAGCAATTTTGTTTGGAACATATGATAAAAAATGCAGTCCATAGTTCTGCCTGGTAGTTTTCTGTTCTTCCATCTTACCTTTCCAGATAAACAGACTCACCTAAGAACTTTGCTTATATAGGAAACAGAACAAAACTCAGTGTGAGACCTTGCGAAAGCAGGAGGTGATGGTTAATTTAAATCTGACCGCTTTTATTCATGTTCATTCTTTGATAGATTTTACTCAAACCTTTTATTCTCTACATAACTGCAAGCACAAAGGTGCTTATAACAAAGTAGTCTTGTCAAGGTTGCATGTTATCAATATGGACAAAGGGCACGTACTGTTGAGTCCTCACTGCCTCTCTTGGCTATGCCAACTGTGTTCTTGAGGAGCCAACAATTACAGTGTTATTCCTCGCCTCAGAATCTTGCTGACTTCATCGTCCAGGAACCTTAGACAAGGGACAACTGCACCTTTGTTTCTGATTTTACATATCTTTGTGGCTACAGTCTGCCTTTATTTTGGGATAACGAGAAGAGGAATAGCACATACAATGTGGTACAACTTTGTTGTCATCCTTGCCTGTTATCAGGGTGCAGATCTCCTGACAGGTCATCTGTGCTCTGGTACAGCCTTATCACAGCACACACGCCTTAGGGTCATGATGTAAACAGCACGTTCTTCATGTTTGTCTGTCTGATTACTGTCCATCTTGTCCCAGTTATCAATACAGGCCACTCCTGGAACCCTTGGCCTATGTAATTTTTTTCTGGTGCTTTTGCACACGGACATTTCTTGTTGTATTTTGTACAGATCAATCTTGTTATTTCTGATGCTTACATCTGCTTTTAGAACCTGTCACACTAAAAACACTGTGGTCACCTCTAAGTTTCACAGTTAATAATATGTTCTAGAATGCAGTTAACATTGTTTTTAGAAATAGACTTAAAGCCTAAATTGGCATATGGAATGCTTCCAGCTTAATTTTTTCTTTGGCAGTGCCCTTTACACGCCAAGTGCAAGTCAAGACATTATTTGACATTAAAAAACCCATTGTTTAGTAATCAACCCAATTTACTCTTATTTTCCAATTTTGTTATGAGTTTTCAATGTAAACTGCTTAGATACAATAACTAAAATGGAAAAAGACCATTGTAAACATAAATTGTTAACAGATTATATTCTGTCTCTTTCAAGCAAGCATATTTACCTTAGGCAGTGATGGGGTTGAATAGCCTCATGAGTGTGGATGAGGTCAGTTTTCTGTAGTGCTTTCTGTTACAGCAAGACATCTGGGTGCCAGATTGGTAAGATTTAATTGGGGGTTTTTTTAATGTCTTTTAGATATCTTTAGTTTGGAGTTTGGTAGAAGTCCACTAAGCTCTACCGCTGTAGAACTTCTGGTTATGTAACATTCTAATCAGTAATCTTTCTTCCTAGGTGCAGAAATTAAAGAGAAAAACTCAGAAATCGAAGCAACAGGCAGCTCATGTCAAACTAAAGTGGAGTGGCCAAAAGGAAGAAAAGGAGATTGCAGTCACTGTAAGGGAAAGTATATCTAAATCTTGTCCTGGACAGAAAAGCAAAAGCTCTCTTCAGCTGCTAAAAAATGTGCAGAAACTTCAGTCAACACTGAGAAAAGGTGATATCATGTGGGAACAATAGTTCTAAAGTTTACTGTTAGAAGTTTTTGAAGTTGTCTGACAGCTAGTAGATTTTTCATTTCACAAAATACCTTTTAAAAATAGAATCACAGAATGTTAGGGGTTGGAAGGGACCTCTGGAGATCATTGAGTCCAACCCCCCTGCCAGAGCA